TAACAAAGCAAAGGGACACAGATGAATGTTCATTTTGTATCTGTGTATTCAAAGTGGTTAGGATAGATATATAGTTACATTCTTTTAATGAATAGAGGGATTTGTTCTAATGGTGTTTGTAAATAGGATATCATGTCTGCATCTTTTACAGCAATTAACCACTAGGAAGAATGTATGCAATGTATTAATTATTTAAACTCTCCTACCAATTTTCTTTGAAACTGTCTCATTGCTATTTGCTTCCCAATAAAATTATGGGAGAAAAAAGAAAAAAAAAGCCAATCACAAAACAAATACTGCCTTATTGTGTTATTGTATAATTGTGTCAATAAAATTTAAGATGAAAAAAATCAATATTATTTTACAATATTTTTTTCTAAGATCTACTATGTAAGTGGAAATAAACTTCACCTCATAATTTTACAATATTTTTTTCTAAGATCTACTATGTAGGTGGAAATAAACTTCACCTCACAATTTTGCATTTCATTCTAAAGGTAAGGCCCCAATTAAACCTTTTTTACCATGAAATTAGACACCCCTGCTTTGAGTGACTTGTGTGTATGTGTGTGTGCATGTCTAGTGGCAACTGTCTTCGGGTAATGAACACCTACGGAGTATAACTGCCACCTCTCTGAGTTGTGCATCCTCAGGCCTAGTCACGTGGTGGGTTGTTATGGAAACACAAAGCAACAGTGACATGGTTAACACGACTGGGCCCTTCTGTATTTCAAGCATATAGAATATTTTGCTGAGTTAACACACCTATAATATTCCAATAACGTAATTTAACAAAGCAAAGGGACACAGATGAATGTTCAAGCATTTTTTCAAGTGTTCCATGAGCTTCAACACATTCTTTCCTCACAATAACATGCTAAGATAGATGCCGTTATTGTCTGGCTTTGACTGATAAGAAAACTGAGGCCTGCAGAAATCAAATAAGTTGTCCAAGACCACACAGCTGACAAATAATGGGCAACACTGTGTGCCGGCTCTAGGGTCCGTGCTATCTCCCATGATGCGGCGCACGTACCATGTGCATGTAGACTTGGCAACCTCAGGGGAAGAACACACACTCTCTTAAACAAGGAATAGGCTTCGAGGACTACCCAAGGCCCAGCTCACCTGGCTGTGTTGAGGTTCCGGTAGAGCTGCCCGAGCGACTCCAGCAGGCTCCCCTCCATCTCCCGGTCCCTGAGTTGTTGAGCCAAGGCCAGCCAGTGTTCATGGTAGGTGATGCATGCCTCAGGATTTGGGGACACAGAGCTATAGAAATGGCAGAGGGATTTGGTGACCTGAAGCTGACCTGAACATAAAGTGGGGAAATGAATGAGATATCTTGAGACAGGACATGGGCAAAGCATGCACCAGCGCTTATCTCAAAAGCTCCCAGCAGCACGGGACATACTCACTCTTTAGGTGTCGATGCCTTAAGCCAAACAGCAGTGCAGTTTCATAACAAAGCTGGCCCTGGGCCAGCTGGCGTCCAGACACAAAGACTTGGGCTAGCCAGAGGAGCACCTGCACCAATTCCATATCTGTGTCCTTGCTGGTCTGGAGTTCAAAATACAGTCGGACTGCTTGCAGGAGATAGTCCTTGGCTGACTGGTGAGCCCTAAGGGTCAGGTGACCAAGATTGGCCATAGTTACTGCTTGGTTACGCACGTCTCCTGTCTCCTGAGCTCTGTACAAGGCCCGGAGATAGTTTCTGGCTGCCCTGCTCCCCTGGCCTTCATCTTGAAGTGCAATGCCCAGGAGATTATGGACCACTCCCCTCTGAGTGACACTGTCTGCCTCCTTCAGGGAGCATAACAGTGGCTCTAGGATCTCCAAAGCCTTCTTTGCTTGGCTTGCTAAGAGATAGGCCCATGCTAGACACAAGGAAGACTCAAAGGCCTCCTGCTCACCCAGTAGCTGCCCTAACACCAGGGCCTGACTCAGGTAGTAGATGGCACCATCAGGAGACCTGTATTGGAGGTACATTTTGGACAAGATGAGGCACAGGGCCCTCTGAGTGTTCCAGTCAGTCTGTTCTTCACAAGCAGCCAATGCCTGCCTGAGAGTTGGACAAGCTAGTGCAGAAACTTCACACCAGCTTGAGGAGGGGACATCCAGAAGCTTAGTGGTGTTCTGGAGGACCAGGTAAACCTGCCAAACTGGAAGAGGCATCCCATGGGCACTCTGGGTACTACAGTGCTGGACCGAGGCCACTGCAAGGTATGGAAGGTATTTTTTGTCATACAGAAAACTCAAGATGGTGGCTGTAGCATCAGAGGCAGAAGGGTGTCCAGAGAGGAGTTGCAGGCGCTCAGCAAAGGGCAGGACCTCCTCATGCCGGCCTAGGCTCAGGAGCAGTCGGACAGCCAGAAAGCAGGCTCTGGCCTCCAGCGGGCTGCTGCCCACCACAATCCCCTGGCGCAGCACATAGGCCACCACGTCAAGTTCATTCTTAGCACTGAACTCATGGTCAGGCAGGCAGGCCAGCAGGGCACCTGCCTTTTCCAGCAGGGCTGGCCCTTTATGCCTCAGCCTCTGCCTGAGGTAGATGGCAGCCAAATTGATATACAAAGCAGCAACCAGGGGTAGGTCCTCAAATGGCCCCTGGAGAATGTGGATGGCTTCCTCAAAGTACACCCTGGCCTGGGAGAGCTTGACTTTTCTGACACTCAGCCGACCCAGGAGGAAGCAGAGCCGTGCATGGGCCCAGGTCATGTGGCTCTTCTTGGCCAGCTTTCTTGAGGTCTCCAGGTAGGCCATGAGCTCATCCTCCTCAGAGAAGCAGTAAAAGGAAGATGTGAGGAAAGAGAAGGAGAAATCATAGAGGCTCTTGAAATGGTCAGTGTAACCTTCATGATCCAGAAAGGCCAATATGGGGGCAAAATTCTCAGCTTCCTCCTCATCCTGACTAGTGTGTAGGTCCATGAACAGTTCCGGGTCATCAAGGTCATCAGGCTCTGGCAGGTGATAGCTGTCTGAGGCAGCTGAGAGGAGCTCCTCCTCCAAGCTGGAGTCCTCAGAGCTGCTAGACCATCTGGATCCCACAGCCTGATGCTCCTCCCTGGCTGTGCCAGGCCTGGCCTCCTTGAAGCCTTCGGGCTGGGTTGCTGTAAAAAAGGCAGAGTTGGGCAACCCTGAGCACCTATAACTAAGGTGCCAGCTCCTGGGCAGAAGGTAGAGGTGCTGACCCAAAGGCCCAGAGATCAGGATCAGCAGGATTTCTACTCACCACTCAGGTCATTTGGAAGATTCTGGATGGATTCAAAACCACCTAGGTAGACAGGAAGTACAGAGCTGCTGTTAGGTTAGACTGAGCCACCACGTCAATGTCGCCAGGGGCCCAGGCCAGTGACTCTAGGAAGCTTTGTGGTATAGTTTTAGACCATCAGTTTTCATGAAGGGATGGGAAGCATTTGCCTTTTCAGCATGAGCTTGAGAGCTGCATGGCCTGTTTATCCCACACACTTTACAGCTGGGAAGTGAGGTAGAGTGACAGTCAAAGAATATCTGAAAACAGAATCTACCAAGAAGGACACATATGAGGGTTGATAAAATCTGAGGGCCCGAGAGACGCTGTGCCTAAATCTCTCCACAAGTTTACAACAGAACTGGGCTAGCCTCCTGGCACAGAGAACTGGGCGGCACGTGGCACAGGCTCCCTTTCCACATGCCCACATCCTCCCTCTTTTCTTCCACCATTCACTTCTCATCCATTCACTCAACAGATGTTGAAACACATGCAATGTGCCAGACACTAGCTTTCTGGAGGCTGCAAGACCGACGAGGGGCAGAGATGAATGGCGAAGAAGAGAAGGAGTAAAAATGTCCCTGAGGTCCCCAGCTTTGTCGCCTGATTCAATGGGAGGACAGGAAAGTCTTGAGTAGAGTTTTAGACATTGAGCTTAAGAGCTGTAGCTAGAGAATGGTCTGGAGGCCAGATTTAAGGTTCACAGTGGCTGACCAGGAGCTGACCAAAGTGCCAGGACCAATGGGGCTGCATGGGGGTGGCAGCATTTGGAAAGAAAGCAGAACAGAGGGAGTGGGAGATTTGCTAGTGAGCCTGGCGAACATCAACACTTCCCGGCAGAGAGCAGCTGGTGACAAGAAAACCACAATGGCAGAAAGAAAAGGGGGAGTCAGAGAAACCAAGTCTCCTAATGTCACAAAGTAAAAGAAGCTGCGCATGCTGACACACATCCGAAAGCCCAGTAACTGGAAGGATAGGGGTGCGGGGGGATCACAGGTTCAAGAGCAGCCTGGGCAATTTAGCAAGACCCTGTCTCAAAATAAAGAGCTAGGGGTGCAGTTCAGTGAACAGGCCCTGATAAGCTTAACTCCTAATATCACACATAAAAAAGTGAAACCATATTAAATAATGACACAAAGAAAATGCCCTGAGTTTGGCAATTAAGACATGAATTCCTGAGTGGACCAGGGACACTAGAGAGAAGACCCCAGCTCTTCCTCATGGAAAGGTAGCATCTGCCTGTGCGGCCCTATGCAGGCTTCAGAGAATTCTGAGGACCAGCAGCCTCTCATCAAGCCCAACCTTTTCCTCAGACTCTGCCGAAAGTTTCTTCTGTGATTGTCAGGGCAGATACTCAGCTGAAGAGGATGGGAGTCTTCCCAGCCAAAGATGGGCCAGCTGGAGAGCTCAGTGAGGAGAGCACTCCACACACCCAGGGCCCTCCACTGCTGAGGAGCCCATGCCAGTCTTACTGCAGCTTTCTCTCTCAGCAGCAAGTCACTGAGAGCACAAATCGTGCGTGAGTTACAAAATGAGAAGAAGAACTGGAGGCGCTCCTTCCTGGGGCATAGGCCTTGAGAGAGCTAGAGGTTGCCAGAAACATGGCCCCTGTCTGGGTCTCCCTCGTCCCAGGGCAGACTGCACAGCCATAAAACTCAGCCCATACCCGGCAGAGTGCACTCCTCTTGCACAACATGCTGCCCAGGGCCTGTTCTTAGATCCCTACCGATGAACCAGTAGACAGTTTATCCTTGCTCCAAATCTGCCACCCACTTCTGCCAATGTACATCCCAAGTATCCCTTCATTCTTAGATCTCCATTCCTGCCTAAGATCTCTGCCCCTACCTACCAGGCACTGTCCACAGCTTCAGCTTCCTGGCTCAGCCTCACAGAATGATCTGATCATAATTTTTTAAAAATCTCTGCTAGGGGCCACAGCAACCATTGAAAAAGAGTAGCCATGCCCTCCGCTATCCTATGGCCATGGGCCTCAACAAGGGCCACAAGGTGACTAAGAATGTGAGCAAACCGAGGCACAGCCACAGCCGCGGATGTCTCACCAAACACATCAAGTTCGTGCGGGACAAGATCCGGGAGGTGTGCGGCTTCACCCCCTACAAGCGGTGCGTCACGGAGCTGCTCAAGGTCTCCAAGGACAAGCATGCCCTCAAGTTCATCAAGAAAAGGGTAGGAACGCACATCCATGCCAAGAGGAAGCATGAGGAGCTGAGCAACGTGCTGGCTGCCATGAGGAAGGCAGCTGCCAAGAAGGACTGAGCCCCTCCAGAATAAAGCTTTGCAGAAAGTTTAAAAAATAAAATAAAATAAAAATCTCTGCTAGGGCTGAGAGCATTTGTCTAGGGTATGTGCTCCTCAAAAGACATCTTGTGCATGGAGAAAACTTTTACTTTCTAATCCTGCTCCTAAGAGCTGGCCTAGGGGCTTGCTATCCACAACCTCTGACTGTACCCATAACATGTGGGCCTTTTAATCTGATCACACAAGAGTGGAAACATCACCATCACCAAGGAGGAAGAGGACAAAGGATCCTTCTTCAACCACCATCAGAGAGTAGATGTAGTTCCCAACCCAGAGCAGTGGGTCTTTCTAACCATAAATGGCATGAGCATCATTCATTCATTCATTCATTCATTCATTCATTCATTCATTCACTCAGCTACTCATGCGTTGGGAAGTATGGTGAAATGGATTGTTGACTGGCAGTTCTCACTCTGGGTCAAGGATTCATTCACATGAGTCTCTGTTAAATGAGGGGAGAAGTCAACTCTTAGGGTCCTTCCAAGTTGTAACATTCTATGGCCCCACCTTTGCTATAGGTACCTGGTTCAAACCTGAAAGAACAAATTTCAGCCACAATTCAAAAGATAAGGTGGAAGGGCCACTTGTTGCACAGGCAAATTGGCTTCACCATACCTTCATAATTTCTAGGAAACATGTTCTGTTCAACCCCAGAATTATCTGAAATCTAAAGTGAAGTGCTATGGTCCAGGTAGTTAAATGTACAGTGCTCACAGCTTCAAACTCCTGAATGGAATTAGGAGTTAGAGATATTTTCTTTTTGGTTAGGGATGCTCTTAGGCTTGAGGAGCCTAGGGTTTTACTGGGGGTGGAGATCCAACACTCACTGAGGCGGTAGACAGACGCGATGTCAGTTTGAGCCAGCGTGTGGAGGAAGCTGGCACACGCAGCTTTTCTGTCGCTTGCCAGGGCCCACAGAGAGCATTTTTCATCATCACTGAAAAAGGCAGAGCTCTTGCTCCTGCGTTGGGGCAAAAGACAGAGCTAGGTGAGGATAAGGTTCCAGACTGCACCTTTTCGCTGCACAGTAGGGCATATTAAGAATAGAAAAATCATCGACTCACTTGCTGAAATCAGACTCCTCATCTTTCAGCTGCAAACAGTATTTTTACTGTCAAAGAAGAAGGGCTGGTAACACCTAACTCATGCACATAAAACTGATCTGTATCATTCCGAAGTAGAACAAAATGCAGATAAAAACATCGCTCCCACTAAAACTCCATTTTCCAAGAAAAACAAAGCCCCTCTTGATTCCTGCCCATCCTTTGCGGTCACCTGGCAACCGTTTATAACTGGAGAAATAAAACTGGTTACCTTAGATACAAAAGGAAAGGAATCATTAAAAGAAGTGTCTTTTTCCTTAGATTATTTCAACAGAAAGTTAGGGACAAGTGGCACAATCTAGAGGAACAATGAAGAAAGTTTCACGGTGACAAGAATTCCCAAGACTTGAAGGCACGTCCCAAAACAGCATTTTGTAGCCTTAACAGGGGAAAAGAACTGCTAAGGGGAAGAAAGTGGATCAGTTGGAAGGTTTAGGGTCAGAAGAAATCATTATAAATAAAACTGATTCTTATAGTTATCCTTCTGTGTAATCTAACTGTTAAAATGAATTTGCTTGCTGAAGATGTTATGGGCTTGTTAACTTGAATGGAATTTACCAAGACTCTGAAATCTAAAAGTGCCTTAGAAAGCATTTAGTCCAACATGTAGCAGAACATGCTTTCAGATCCCTTTCAATTCTAAACAGAATTGTTTTTAACCTCAGAACCTATTTATGAAAGAAAATTGCCTTGGAAATCCAACAGCTAACAACAGCTAGTACTTCTTGGGGATATATACATATTATTCTCTCGTGTAATTCCCATAACTGCCCTATGAGGCTGGTACTATTTTTATGCCCTTTGGGGAGATAAAGAAACAGAGGCACAGCAAAACGAAGTGGGTGTTTATGTACTACATCAAGAAATGAAAGCACTTCCTTACAGCTGAGGCCAGGAAAGGCCTAGCAAGGAGGTACTGTGGTCAGCCTCATGCCATTTGTCCCATAGCTCAGTGTGAGCACAGTGAAAACCAGTGATGGGGAACAAAACTTTTACAGTGCTGCTAAGATCACACCCTAACAGGTGGCAGAAGTGACACTAGAGGGAAGTCCCAATGTCTGCCCCAGATATGTACTAATACCCTCCACTCTGGCCCAATCTCTAGATTTTTCCCCCATACCATGAAAGCTTCCGGCCTCAAAACAGCATGCAATTGAAATCTACAACTAAACCCAGTTGGATATTTGCATATTTCCTTTGTGGAACCCTTAAATTTCACAAAGTATTCTGAAACATACTGCTTCATTTACTATCTGTTCCAATTCTACAATATAAGTTTTAAATCCATGTTTATAAATGAAGAAAATGGTTCAGAAAGGTCAGCGACATGTTCAGAATTTCACAGCTAGAAAGTAGTGAAACTGACGCTTTGTAGCTCTATATCCAGTGTCACAGAGCCAATTTGCTAAGGTCTTGACTTTCAGGTATTTAGAGAGTCCAAAAAGCTTGAAAACTACATTATGGATTCCAAACATGAAAACTGGGCTAGATAAGGAGAGTCACATGGGGAGAAGACACTCTCTCAGGCTTTCACAGAGAGCACATTGGCCAAGCAATGGCCGTGACTCATCCACATGGCTGTACTGACAAAGGTTCTACAATCTGAGGTACAGGATCTCAGGACAAATCCCGAGGGCATTTCACTGACCTTCTCAGACCAAAAAGCTACAACTCTTGTTGCATAGGTCCTGCTTTACCTTGGTCTTAACCATCCAGTAGAAAAGTATGAAGTCGAAATATAAGAAATAAAGCCATGCTGTTAAGTTGAGCTGTGGGGGACTCAGGTCAATAATTTCTGACATTGCCAGTTAAACAGAAGACCCAATGCTATTATGGGCTACTGGACTCTTTTAAAATATTTTGCTGAGTTTACACACCTATGATATTCAATAACGGAACTTAGAAAAAATGGGGTATACCGATGAATGTCCATTTTGTATCTGTGTATTCAAAGAGGTTGGGATAGATATATAGTTGCATTCTCTTAATGAATAGAATGATTTGTTCTAATGGTGTTTGTAAATAGGATCACAAGTCCGCATCTTGTACAGCAATTAACCACTAAGAAGAATATATGCAGTGTATTATTTGTTGAAACTGTACTTCCGATTTGATTTGAAACTGTCTCATTGCTATCTGTTTATCAATAAAACTTTGAAAAAAAAAAAAAGAAAACTGGGCTAGAGAGCTGTGACAAGGATTCTGGCATGCTGGCAGGTGATAGAGTTCCAAAAGGCTACTCTCCCATACACACACACATGCACACACACATATATGCATGCACACACATGCACACATGCATGCACACAAAAATTGGATAACATGTAACAAAGATAAATATTCTAACACATGCTTAAACTCTAAATAAAGGAAAGAAAATACATGAGATACGGAAACAAAAGTGGAAGCCAAACCCAGATTGGTGGGGAAGAACAGGTATCCCTAGAAGTTTTAGAGGGTCTAAAACTAGAGCCGGGGCCAGGGAGATATCTCAGTGGAATAAGTGCTTGCGTGGCCAAGTGCAAGGTCCTGAGTTCAATCCCTGGTACCACCAAAAAAAAAAAAAAAAGTTTTAGCTGAGACACTTGCCCTCAGAACTGGGTTTCACCTTGCAGTGACCCCTCAGGAATAGGAGATGGCCTGTGTGAGGCAGGGAGCTGGATTAAGCTCCCTTCATGAAGCCTGGAGTCTAGAGAGGTAGTGGTTTTTCTTAAAGGGCTGCTTGCAAATTATCTTACCACGCACCACGAAGTTGTTTTTCATCTATATAAGTATCTAGGAAAAAACCAAGCACGTGCCCACTCCATGGGAAGGTGGGGATCTGAAGTTACGTGCACAGTGTAGGCACCACGTTCAGAGAACTTCACATTATAAATCAGTCCCAGAGATAGGCCTGGTGCTGCACACCTGTAATCCCAGCACTCTAGGAGCTGGAGCAGGAAGACTGCAAGTTGCAGCCCAGTCTGGATGACTTAGTAAGACCCCTGCATCAAAGATAAAAAGGGATTCGGGATGCACCTCAAAGGCCCTGCACTCAAATATATATATATATATATATATATATATATATATATATATATATATGTCACAAGCTTCTAACATTCTGGAAGAAGCAAATAGAAAGCCTACTCTGTGGCAGGTCTCCTTCAGTCCAGAATTGGTGCAATATCTTCCTTGTAAAACTTGAAACTTCATTCATATAGCAAAACATACAAACCAAAAACACAAATTAAGAAAAGAAACCACTCATTAAAAAATCCAGCAGATGCACAAGCCAGTAAATTAATATAAAACTAGTAGTGACAATAATCTGAAAAACAAGCATGATTAAAACAATGAAATAAAAAGAAAAAATAGAACATACAATGAAAAGATGACATGCTGCAAGAGGAAATAGCCACACATCAAAAAAAAAAAAAGAAAAGAAAGAAAATACAAATTCTAGAAATGGAAAATAAAGCCATGGAAATTAAGGGGAAGGTGAAGCCACAAGTTTAGTCAGAGCAGGTGAGAGAGTTAGTGAAGTGAAGATCCTTCTGAGGAAATCAGAATGTGACCCAGAGTGACCAAATCATGAACAATCGGAAGAACTTATTAAGCAAAGTTAAGGATAGAATATGTCCAACATACCTCTGACAGGAATTCCAGAAGAGAGACTAAAAGGGTAAGAGAAAGGCAGTATTCAGAAGAGAACGAGAATTTTCCAGAATTGAAGAAAGACAGGAATCTTCAGACTGAGGAAGCACACCAAGCCCTGAGCAAGATAAATAAAAAAACAGTGCCATTGTTAGCAGGATGCCAGCTCTTCAGGTGACAGGTCTCTGCAAGTCGTCTGGCTCTCCTAGCTCTGCTTTCAGTGTTCAGATTGCTTAACTGTTCGATTCATGGTGGAAAAGACTTAAATATAATGATAAAAACAAACTAATGAAGTAAAAAAATAGAAAACAATCCAATGAAATGTTTTAATTAATGAAATCATTTTAAAAATAAATTCTTTGAAAAAATTAATATTATAGACAAATATAAAATCCTGGCAAAATAGGCTTGCTTCCCCCACACCCTTTGGTACTGGAAATCAAACTGACAACCTCACACTTGCCAGGCGGGCAACTATGCTCCTGAGCCATATCCCCAGCCCAGCTTTGTTATTTTATACTAAAAGTTATCTTTTCTCACAGCCTGAAGATGTTATTATATACCTAGCTGGTTTTGTTTTTGTTTTGTTTTGTTTTGTTTTGTTCGGTACGGGGATCAGACTCAGGACCTTATGCTTGCCAGACAAGCACTCATGCTACTGAGCTATCTCCCCATCCTCCAGCTAAATTATTCAAGTGTATATTTTAAATAACATTTCCTTAAAACAAACAAGCTCTAAATACTGTATTTACAATTCACAGGTCTTCACTGAAATATGTAATTACCATAAAATTAGAAAGAAAGAGGTGGGTAATTTGCTATAAAAATACAATACTATATCACATCTAGATGTTATAATTGTAAAACATCAATGAAAAAGAAAAAAAAGTAAGATGATACTGCGAACCTGCAAAGAAAAACTAACAGCAAAATCCTCATCAGTGAAAATAGATGTTGTCATAAGAAATAAAATTACAAAGAAGACACAGAGAAACAATATGGAGAATAAAAGAGATAGAGTAAAAGAATTTTAAAACTTTTAACACTATTAAATATTAAGTTTTCACCTAGGTTACTTTTTTCTGCTTTTGAGTGCCCCAATCACTCTTGCTTATTTTTATTTTTTTTAATATTTATTTATTTATTTATTTTGTGTGTGTGTGGCCAGCTCAGCCCACCAGGGGGCGGGGCTGGCTGGTATGTGGTGCTGGGGGATTGAACCATGGTCGTGGTCCTGTGCTTTGCTTAGCTTAGCTTGTTCTAAGTAGGTGCTTTAGACACTGAGCCATCTCACCAGCCCCCTTGCTTATTTTTAATTTAGATCTTTAAGTGTACAAATTTCTTTTTTTTTTTTTTTAAAGGTATTTAGGACAGGGTCTACAGTGTCTCACTACGTAGTCAGACTCGTAGGACTTCTCCTGTTTTCAGTCTCCCAAGCCCTGGGATTACAAGTGCGCTCCACCACGCCCAGTCTGAATCGCACTCTCAGCATGCCCCAGTGGTGGGGACAACACTGCACGCCAGGGGTCAAACTCTGGCTGCTGTAAGTGTACAAATTTCTTTCAAGTAACATTTTATTAAAATGTACTATATCTATGATAATGTGAATAAATTTAAATTTACAGTGTTAGCCAAAATAGCCCATTATGAAAGAAATATATACAATTTTAAATACATAAAAACCATAGTTTTCTGTTTATAAACAAAAGAAACTCTTTAATATGTATCAGAATAAGGATTAGAAAGATACATGCCAACTTTTCCTAGCATTTGCCTCTGGAGGGGAAATTAAGATGGGGTAAAAAGGGCTGGCCTAATAGCTCAGTGGATTAAAGCACCTACTTAGGCAGACGCAGGGGCTGGGAGTTTGATTCCCGGCCTGCCGTGCCAGCCCCGCCCCCGGGGTGCGCTGAGAAGGCAAAAGAGACTGGGCGAGGTGGCGCAGGCCTGTAATCCCAGCGCTTGGGAGGCTGAAAACAGGAAGAATCACTACAAGTAAGACCCTGTAGATCTTGTACTAAATACAAAAAAAAAAAAAAAAAAAAAATCAGGTAAAAAGCAAGAAAGGATAAAAAGGCATCTTCAATTTTATACACTTCAATTATAGCCAAATTCTGTTTTCCCTCTTAAAACACAGACACACACACACACACACACACACACACACACACAATTTTTAAACATAAAAAGGAAGGGTATGTTGCGCCATCACCCTCAAAATCTCCGAGACCCTCGAAGTCATGCAGGCTAAACCCAAGCAGCACTACCCCTATTTGCACAAAATGCTTTCTGCAAGTTTTAGGAACTAGTCTTGCAGCTGCTGCTGCAAAGCAGTTGGTGTTCGACTAGGAACTTGCTGTTCAAATCTGTGCCAAAGGGATCATCGATTTCCTCCTTGGGCAAGACCTTCCCACGTGGTGCCAAGCGCAGGCTAAATCGGCTGCAGAGAGCAGTCTCTGGAGAAGTTCCACTCGATACCGTGGGTGTAGCTTTGAAGGCACGCCCGCATGTGCACACACGCCTACACGTGTTCACACTCGCACACTTCTTGGCAGAATGTATCAGCACGGGGAGAGAACTCCTTCAAAGAGAGTAGACTTCAGCAAATACTGAGGTCTTCCTCAGAAACCCAAGAACAAAGGAACACAGACACAGAGCGACACCCAGCGGCCAGTCATGGGCGCAGTGCACAGGAACAGAGCCCAGCACGTGGGAACCGGCCTGCTCCGCTCCTAAGTTGGCGCTGTGTAAGGACATCCACATCCAGAAGGTGCCTGGGAGGCTACACCAGGACCCTGGTCCCTCCTTCTCCTGTGTCCTCCCCTCCCTGCCCACTGGCTCCTTCCTGTTCGTTACCAACTCTACAGGCCCTGGCGCACTGGGTCCCGCAGCCAAGGACGATGGATGCCACAGCTGATAGAGAAATGCAGTGACTTTGTTCTTAGTGTAAGAATGAAGATTGTGAAACTAAGCAATTAAAGCATGATGGCTACATTGATTTAATGGTACTGAGTTTTGTTACTTGGAACAATTTGTGAGGTGCCAAAGTCCAAATATTACAAGCTTTCTATTTAAAATATACCATGAGCTGGCCAAATAGCTCAGCAGATTAAAGTGCCTGCAAGCAGGCACAGGGGCTCGGGCTTCAATCCCCCTGGCCTTCAGTGCCAGCCCTGCACCCAGGGCATGCTGAGACAGCAATTGAGACTGGGCATGGGGTCGTGCACCTGTAATCCCAGGTCTTGGGAGGCTGTAAACAGGCGGATCACTACGAATCCAATCTAATAGCGAGACCCTGAACACCCTGTAGACCCTTCCCTAAAATACCAAAAAAAAAAAAAAAAAAAAAAAAAAAAAGAAAAACAAATAAATAAAATATGCCAATCACATCTGATTGAAGAAAGAAAAGTCTACACATAATTATAAACTCTAACCTACACATAATTATAAACTGTAACACCCTCTCTAATACTCTTTTAAAGCCAAGTGTTGAACACTCACAAGGATGACAAGAATGGAATCAGAGCCAAGCTATATTGACACGCTTGTGCCAGCCCAATTCCAAGTGTTTCATTTGATCAGCTCATCTACACTCGGGACAATCCTCGTGGGCAGATAGAATATTATACACATTACAGATAAGACAGCAGAGGTGCAGAGGGACCTCAATGTGCCCAAAGGCGTACGGCTGCTAAGCCAATGAACATACAGGATGCACTCACACCGTCACAAATGTTTTGGGGGCAATCTAGGCCCAGAAGTCTGCAAACCATTAAGCTATGCTTTCGGGGGGGAGAGGGGGGGAAGCTATGCTTTCTGCCACGACCTTCTAAAGGACAAGCCTTTCCTCAGGAGGCCCTGCTTTACCCACTGAGCCAGTGGCCATGCTAACTGCTGTGTTCACTCTTCCTGTGCTCCGGAATGGTTCCTCCCTACCAACGCTCTTTTCTGCCTGTACTTTCTTCCTTTCACCAGAACTTCCATTGCAGGACCTGTGCATTTAACATGAAGACTCTGGGCTTCCAGACCCATCATTCCTGGGTCCTCACTTCTACTGCAATAAAATAAGGGCCTCTGGTTCTCACCTTGATAGCCACAGCCTTTCCTAGAGAGCTCGAATAGATAGCACAGCCCAGGCTCCACTCAGACCAGTAAGGTAAGAGCGTCTGGGGCATAACTCAGCTCTCCACATCTGCAAGACTCCCAGAATCTTTATCTTCCAACAGCAGCCTCTGCCCTCTGTTCCTGCTCCTGCTCCTGCTCCTGCCCTCCCCACCCCCATCCTCCTTCTCCTCTTCCTCCTAGGTGCTGCCCCTAACCTCCCCACTGGTCCCCAGTCTCCAGCAGCCACTTCTCCCCCACCAATACCTGTCTCACCCAAGCCAGCTTTGACTTCCCAGAGAAAAGCCCAACTATAACTTCTCTGCCTGGCTCAGACACACTCTGGGGCTCTCACTCTCTGCAAGGTGGAGGACAGGCCCTGCACAGCACTCCCTGTCTTCTACACCAGGGAAGGTCCCACTCTGGCTCTGCTGCACCCATGCCTCCCAAAACCTCCCTCCCAGGGACATGAGTCACTTCCTCAGAGGTTCTCACTTTCCTTCTTATATCTGTCAAAACATCTTACATTGTGCAAAACTTAACTCAAATATCACCTTTGGTGAAAGTTCTCTCATACTCTTTCCTGCCTTCCTTCATGTCCCCATAGCCCTCCATACCTCTCCAGGAGCTCAGGAGTGGTCTTCCTGTTTTGTGGAAGCTGACTTCCCATCTGCACAGGAAAGATGGCCCTCTGCCTCCTCTCCTCATGAAGAATAAGGCATAGAGGGAGCTTCTAGGCCTTAACCCATGCCTCACTGAGTCTTTCCCATAGGAAGAGGAATTTTAATCCAAATGTTGAGTGCCTTAGCTATTCCTTGGGCCACATCTTCTCAGTATGTCTTACTATGTGGAGCCAACTCTGTGCTTCCCCTCATGCTTTCTAGACCCAGGCTTTCACCTATCTCCTATCCACGCAGGAAGCTCACCCCAGAGGGGCTGCACAACACTGTAATTCACCTTCCTATGACAGAAAGTATGGGTGGAGCAAGCTGGCACCTGCCACTGGGTTCAGACAATGGGACTGCTCCTCACAATTAGCTTCCTAGATTTAGGGAAAGAAAAGACAAAAGATGCACTCTGCTCTCCTGACCCATCCTGACCTCCCACACTCAATGCTTAGCAACAGTAGCAAACCTGTAGCCTGCATGGAAACTATCTTTCTGAGCAACTCGGGAGGGGACTGTCCATGAACCAAGTTGGTAATCTATTACTCCTGGTGTTTCCATCCCTTGATGAGGCCTTTGGTTGGACAGGAAGAATGATGAGATCCAAGTATCAAAGACACACCTTGTGCCAAACAGAAGGCCCTTTTCTTGGGGCTGTGTTTCTGTCTCTGCACAGAGGAAACTTTCAATGACCCACTGTTAAGTGAACCAAACTGACTCATTCTCTAGCCACCCACACCTCCTCCCTCCCATTCTATGTGCCTAGGCTGCCATTCCTTGGCTTGGCATTCCTGAACCATGCTCAAGTACAGTGCATGTGCACCGCTCTCAAAGGGAAGGAAGCCCTGGAAGGGCAGCCCAGCTGCAGGACAGAATCACTGCCATACTCACATTGGGGAGTAGGAATCGGGATCTATGTTCCTGGTGGGGACAAAGCCCACTGTTCCTGAGCTCACTGACTTCCCAATGAACCACTGAAGTCCAGGAATGACAAAGCCAATGATCTCGATGCTTTCTCCCTGGCGGAAACTCAGTTCATCCTTTTCTTCCTGCTCATAATCCCTCGAGGCCTTACATCTTCCTCTGCCTGTGGGAAACAGCACACAGGTCAAATGCAGACAGCATCATCAACTGAGCCTTCCCCTACCTGCCAATGTGGTGCAGACTGAGGGGACCCCAGACTTCAAATACTAAAGACCAGTGAAATTCCCTGCTGACCTGAAAACACAAATCATCTGGAATGGGACAGAGTAACTGGCTTCTCATTTTGCCAAAGCAGGACATTCAAAACAGAGGAACTCAAATCATCATTTGTAACAGAAAAGATGCTTAAAGCCTAAGAAAGATATTCTCAGAATGCAAGGTATGTCCAAAAATTTAATAAATGAAGCTCATGTAAAACTGGAAAGCTCAGTATTTTACTAGTTTGATTTTGCCACTGTCGTGTGGACACTTGGTCCTGGGTGGTACAAATCCGCAGACCAGCACATGAGAATGAGTCATTCACCACAAGGTCCCCCCAGATCTGTCCACCTGCCTTTGGCCAGTGTGACCTTCAGCCTCCCCAGCTGTACCATGGATGTAATGAGAATGAAAGTCTGATATTCATAAATATTAAAAGGAACCAAAGAGACAAAATGCACAATGCCCAAAACCTACTCCCTCTCGACAGAGGGTGCAGAATGGAAGCTGCTGATGCTCCAAAGAGATCTGAAACTCTGATCTATCTACAGTAAGTCTGCAGTGTAAGAAGTGGCCACTAGAAGTGACATTGTTAACGTTCTGTGTAGTTTACAATGCATAGATATCCCTGTTCTCAGATCTCCCAATCTCCCTTGCAGGCAGGCAGCCAGCCATCAAAATGCTCTTCATATAGATTAGGAGGCGGGAGAACCACTAAGAGTTGGCTCAAGGAGTCTGTAGGCAGCAAAGCTGAATCCTGAACTTAGGTCATCTGATTGCTGATAAGCTCTCTGACCTCTAATTCTGTGCTGGTGCCTTTTACGTGCCTTTGTTTCCATATTTACTTTTGTTCCTTTGCTCATACTTCTGGTTCAATTTTTTCCAAAAATTTTTACCAAATTCCTCTCAGTTATATCTGCATGATCAGAAATTCCCACTGTTTCACAGGTAAGGGATTCAGCACATGTCAGAAATCTACAGTGAGAGGATCAATACTATGAGATTTTCAGATCTCTTGGTGAGATTTAAAATTGATTTTACTACATCATCTTACTAATGAGGAAGTCCTGGCATAGTGAGGGCCGGGGGATGGCCGAGGTCACACAAGTTTTATGTTGTGGAGGCCTCACTTGAACCAAGAACAGGCTTCAAAGCCCCTGTTCCTAACTATAAGGCTACATCTCCTCAGAAAGTGAAATATCTTATGAACAGTCAGTTATTGTTAGTTCTAATGTCTGGGTCCCATAATTTCTTCCAGTTCTTTTGTAAAACAATGTCATTTGAACATTGAACTGGCAAAATTACATTTTTTTTAAAGGAAAGATGGTAAGGGTTATAATAAGGGAATATATATTCTAGATACTTTACTATCCAGTAGATACACACAGTTACAGACATGTGTGCATATGTACTACATATACATTCAGATGGAAAACACCTCCATATATGCATGCATGTACATGAATATATACATATATATGTGTGTGTATAAATTTCACTCATCTGGTGAAAAATCTTCCTGCTTGGTCTTGTGTTCGGTATTCACATTCTCCCTAACTTCAAATCTAATTTCCCAGTTCTTTAAGGGAAATCAAAAATATTTGACCAGGCAGCCTGGTCAAAATATTTAAAACAGGCAGACTACAGGCCACATTTAGCTCACAAAATGCTTGATTTGGCCCACCCTGGGCTTTTTTTTTTCCCCACCTATCTTTAAATTCCTGCCATCCCTGCCACAGCCCCAAGCCCTCCCGCAGGGCCCTGCACTCATCTGTGTGCCCTGCCTGCCCCTGCAGACCTGCATCTGCAGCCCTGGACTAGACTAAGGCCTCTCAGTTCACAGGCAAGGAAACACATGTGTGCAGACAGCAAATGACTTCCCTAAATCCAGTCAGTGGCAGAGGCATTGCAGGAATTCCCATCCACTGACTCCAAGTCTGCAGGCAAATTAGGAGGTACAACAACATTATCTCCCTCATAATACTCCATTTTCAACTCAGCCATACCAATCTGATAAGAGCCTGTCCAATCCCTCTTCCTGGAAAGGCCACAGCTTCCTGGATAATTCTTTAGGAACCATCTGCCAGTGGAAACATGGAGTTTACAAACATGAATTTCAGCAACTTAGAACAATGCAAACAGTCCATTAAAAAATGACAATGACATTGGATGATTTACAATAAGTATTTATTGAGCTTATTTTATCGATATCAAAACTTGTTGAAAACTTACTTTGTACCACACTGTGAAAAAGAGAGGAGTTCAATAGACCTTGGACGTTTGCTGGCTCTGCCATTAGTCTGTCAGTTAAATAACCAACAAAGGGTCCCGATCTATGCTCATCATCAGAGTCTCGGCCAGCACAGAGCACAGGGGCTGGCTGGGGTAATGTTCACTGGCATTCTACATGTTTGAATTTACAAAATCTTCCCATAGGAATTCTCAAACTTCAGTTAAAAAAAA